TGCCTTCACTTGCTTTTATTCCAAAAATCCAAAAAATATAAATTTTTAGATTAGTAAAAATGGATCAAGTAGAATCATGAATCTATTGCTTGCTATTACTGTCATATTTAAACATCTTCTTATTAATATAATAAAAATCAAAATTGCTATAATAAAAAAATTAATTATGTTAACTTTAAAATCTATTGGAATGCCAAACTAGAAGCATTATTTTTCTTTTAAAAAATGTGTTTGGTAGTAATTTTACATTACTAATTTGCATTTTTTCTATATATATATATATATATATATATATATCTATCTTACTACTTTGTGTATAAAATAATTTAATAATTAAATAATTAGATTCTCAAAGTCAAATTTGATATTTTTTAAATTTTAGTAATTCATATTTGATAATTTAAATGACAAAAAATCTATAATAATTGGAATTATTTCTTATTTTAGACTGTTTATTATATTCTTCTATAAAAGTGGATATAAGTAATAGAAATAAGTTTAAACTTCAATTAAGTATATAATCTATTTGATTAATTTTTTTATTTGGTTTTAATATATAGTATGTTTAGAAACAAGGTATGGAGTATGCTTTAGTTATTACATCTAAAAAAGCTTTCAATACCAATTATATATCTTTTTATTTTAAGATTTAGAATTTAGAATTTAGAATTACAAGTATCATAGGACATATATTTAGAGTTCAAAACTTTAAGTTTAAGTTTTTAGAATCATATTAGTATATCCAGTATTTATACTTCTTTGTTTTTAATTGAAAAAAAGCTTAGTTATTAATTATTTTTTAATTTTTTATAACCAATAATTTTGGTGAAATAAATAATATATTCTACAAGTTTTTAGACTTATAAGTTTATACACTTTAACTATATATTTATAAATTTAATTTTATAATGAGAAAGATTTTTATAAGTGTTAAGTCATTTATCTTTTGTATATTGGATTCATAATATGTAATTGTATAATCAAATTATATTAGAAGTTTTTCGATATGTGGATATTAAGGATTTTATTTATTTGGTTATTAAGTTTAGAGTTTTGTTAGCCCAAGTAGGTGAGTAGGATAGTCCAAGACATGACATAATCTAATAATTTAGAAGATTTGTAAAATCGAAAATCTTATAAAAACTTAAACCATTAGAATTTAACATGGTGTTCTTTATTATTATTATTATTATTATTATTATTCTTCCAAGGTTGAAAAGATCAACTTTTTCTTTGATTATTAACCTTTAGTAAAAAAAACTATGATATTTTTATTTTTTATAGACTTAAAATTTCTTGACTCTGAAAAAATATTGAATTTAAACAAGATTGTTCTAAACTTAATATATATATATATATATATATATATATATATCACAGCTATATTTACATAAGAATTATTATTTTATGATTAAATATAATATAGAAGGATTATAAGAACTAATCCTATAATAAAAAAAACTAATAAAAAATGATCTAATGGTACCAAACTATGAAAGAAATTACATTATGATAATGATCATTCTAAATATAAATAAGTAAATATAACTATAAAACAAAGTATATTGGAATCTGCAATTCTAGAAATAAGTTAACTAAACAAATCAAGACAAAAGGAGTGGAGGTGCAAACTAGTAAGCATAGAATTTTACAAAGGTCCAAAGAGTATGAAAACAATTATGGAAGAGTTAATTTGATATATATATATATATATATATATATATATATATTAATTAGGCCTATAAACAACGAATCTACAACATAATAAACTTTAAAATAAAAATAAATTTGGAGCTAATTAGATCTTTTTATGCTTATCTTTTAATTTTTTTTATTTTTATTTCTTTCTAAATAAGCCATTCATCCATCAAATCCTATAAAGTTTGTATGAAATATGCGATATTAGTGTGATTAGACAAATACTAAAATTCAATATTTTTTTAATATATTATTAATTTTAATCTATGTAGATTTTTATTTTTTTATTTTTATTTTTTTATAAAGCTTCAATATTTTCTCAAAAAATCTTGAGAAAAAAATTGTTTTGAGGTGAATATAATCAAATGAGGGTGTTCTCCTTCCTAAAGTGTTTAGAGCTATTTTAAATTTCTATTCTTCTTTTAAGGTTGATTGTACTAATACTTATGTCATCTTGACATCTTAAAATTACTATGAAATTTTTTTTTTAGTAATATTGGACTAATGCATGCTATAACTATATAAGACTCTATATTTTAGATTTTTCTACTCTAAAAAACCTCTTAACATTAATTATCTTATATATATATATATATATATATATATATATATATATCTATCTATATCAATAATTGTAGATAATTCAAATATTATTGTTTTGTATATACCATGTATATTTTTCCAGCTTTTGTATTGTCTACTATACCTCTTAAGACTTACACTTGTGTTTGCAACACAACTTATTCTATGTATGATATGCCAAAATCATTCAATAATAAAAAAAATATTATCCAAAATTTTGCTTATTCTTGTCTACGACTTGATCTAAAGTAACTATAATAAAAAAACATAATACTACTTCAAATCGAAATCTTATTCTATATTTATATCTAAAGTAGATAATGTGTACTAGTTTAAGACTTTATTCCAAATTTTAAGCATAAATATATAAACTATAAGAATTAATTAGATTTTTGTTATAATTTTTTTCTATTTCAAACCTCACTCTAATTGCATTTATTGGAAGATATAGACTTAATTACAAATTTTATAAGATTACTAATAACATATCTAAGTTGAAATTAAAATACCTAATTCTAAAGATAAGATCCAACGACAAAAAAAACTCTGTTAAGTTTTTTGGAAGTACCTTCATAAGCTATTTTAACATATTCATATATGTGTTGCAGGATTAATCCCATCCACTCTCATGTTTACTATATATGATAGAAAAATCAAAGATAATCTGTTATTTTTTCTTTATTAGTATTACATGTTTATGTGTTACAGCAATACATATAATGCATTAAAAATATCATAACAAATTTATTGGACACACAATCTCCACTTAACTTCTACGTTGCTTTTCAATTATGTGTCAACAGCAATGAATCCAATTAGAAAAAAAACTTAGATTCTGGCCAGGAAATTCAATGTTAAATGACTCTTCCAAGGTGAACAACAGTAATTAAAGTTTGAAACAGCGTGCATTCAGCTCCACCAACGCTTGTTCTAAACTCCAATTTTTGTAGCATCCATATTATTTAATCAATTGCTGCGGCTACAAACACGGATACAATGAAGATCTGCATGTATCACGAGTACTCTTTGGGATGTAAGATGCTCAACTACTGTTTGGCTCACAGCGATGTGAGGTGTGCCTTGAAGGGCTAAGTAGCTCCCAAATAGAAAGTGTGTTCAAAGAGTTGATCCTAAGACGATCATTTGATATATCTTCTTAGATCAGCATAGATTTCAAAACGACAAAGAATATGGTCGATTGTGACACGATCTGCTGTGAAGCTGCGTTGCTCTATTTCTGGCATATCCCTCAAGGACTGCAACTTCACGCCTTTTTAAATCATAGATCGGCGTAATATTTCCTTCAAAAAGGGAAATTGAGGCCTGCTCACGAAGTCACAGCGAGAGGTTATAGATTGTCGAAGTGGTGTTCAAGTCCAAGTCATTCACCATTGATTTTACAAATAAATGCATAGTGCTTGCCTGTGGTAAGCTTTGGTGCTCTATGCTTAGTTTCTAGAATCCATGGTGAATGACTTGGAGTTGAATCTTGCTTGCTAGTGCAAGGCTTAATATTTTCATAATTTCTCGTATGAATAAATGCGGAATTGCGCACACAACAATCTAGGGTTGGAAAAAATTTTACGTAGCACATCATTCCACAGTTCTGGTTATCTAGAACAAAAATCTGTGGTGTATTAATCGTTTTTGTCTTTTAACTTCCTGCACACAGAATGGTAGGCGACTTCCCAATCATCTGAGCTAGCTTACCAAAACGATTCTGCATGGACCGGACGGTGCTTACCTCCAACAAACCAATTGCGAAACGAAGCACTGCACCAAATTGCACAACATTTGTCAAAATCTCACGGCCTTTCCACATAACGATTTCTTTCAAAGGCATCTAAAATTCTCCATTATGTTCTTTCGCAACGCCTGTTGGATAAGACTGGTCATAAAAGGCAAATCCAATAAATGACTAGATACAATCATTTTGAAACATCAACCCTGCATGATTGAACAGTAGGGACGCGCACCAGGGACAATGCATGTTACAATTACACTGCCGCACAGCTCCACATCATCGGACACCATTCAAGCTCCGTAAGAACGACATCCACCGCTCCACGACTTATTGGCTCAGAAAACTGAAACACAAGCTCCTGGAGAGCGCCACAACCGCATGCTTGTGTTCAAGCAGCAATTTTAGTGTATCAACCGATTGCAAAGACGATCGTGAACGATACCACTGCGAATTCACAAACTAGCGTCGAAGTCGCCGCGGCGATCTCACGCAAGGTAAACCCTAATTGGCCGTTCATAGGCATTCTGAAGATTAAATTCGGGTAGGTTCGGTCCGGGGCTAATCCGAGCCAAACCCAGCCTGGTACAACCCCTTCCAGAAAGAACGTACGGAAAGGACATTCGAATGTGGACGCATTCACACTGCTATCGCTCCACCTACTTTAGCATAATGAGGTGGCATTTATGGGCCACTGGGTTCACGAGTTCTCTTCGTGGAGAACAATAGAAATTTAGTTCCCTAAAGTTGGAATAATCTTGTGGTTGAAGCTTAACGATGTTCCAAATTTGTTTATTATGAATACCAACTCATGGTTCCTTAAATGAAAAGATTACGTATGTGAGTTGGAATTCAACAAGTGATCAACTGGTGAAGGGCCATTGCCAAACGAAGCATCACCGAGTTTGCCGCATGAGATTTGAATTTGAGCGCGCTGGCCCTATAAAAGGCCCCAGTCGGACCGTTAACCCCGCCATCAGTTCGATGTCGCAGTTGTGACCCGGTCCGCAGCGCACGGGTGTGCGCATTTGCCCAGCCCGGCCCGCCCCAACTCAACTCAACTCATCAGCTTGCTTGTGGTACAGCTTGTGCGTGAGTTGAGCAGGTCTGCAGTGGTTGCGCAGTTCCGCGACACTCGATCATCGGGTGGATTCGAGGGTTTGAGTGATGAGGATCGGCGTGTCGGAGAAGATTCATCGGGCGCTGCAGAGATTGCATCTGCACGGGATCGGGGGTGGGAATTCGCTCCAGCACAATGTGCACTGCGACGTGAAGGTCAGGAAAGTCGACCTGGTGCCCAGCGACGTGCCTGCGGGGTTCTTGGTCGTGTACGTCGGTGACGAGCGGCGTCGGTTCGTCATCAGGGCCTATACCTTGAAGCATGCAGTGTTTCGCGTGCTCTTGGAGAAGTCGGCCGAAGAGTTTGGTTACAAGCACGACGGTGGGTTGATCATTGCTTGCGATGTGGCATTTTTTGAGCACCTGCTGTGGCTTATCGAAACAAAAAGCCCTTCTCTTTGTAGGATGGAGCTGCGGCATTACTGGGCTTTCGCGCCCGATAATACTATTTGTCACATGGTGGATTGAATGAGGGAGAGGATGCGGAATGATCGAGTACGGAGAGCGTGGATATTTTGTGCGATTCGCGCTTTTCAGTGCGATGGTGCGCAGTCTAGGAGAGGTGGAGGGGAGCCCCAAATTGGCTACGGACGGCTGGGTGAGCGGTTAGACGTATCAGTCGACTGTGGTGTCTATGCCTTACGCCGATGCGTAATTCGAAATCATTTGTTACGACGTTGGAGGAATATCTTTTGGTACATATCATTCTTTTGGAAAGAATAAGCACTCTTAAGGTATTAGCATGCGACTGACGTTCTTGCGGTGAATTATCGTTACCATTCTTTCAGTTGATCCGATCTGGCACAGAGAATGATGCGTGTCAGGAGCCTCGCTATGGATCATTATTGACTTACTTACACCATGACAACCTCTCTGTGCCCAATCCAGGGTTGGTTGGCTGATTAGTTTGCGACAATGAAATTCGGTAAAGCGATCTCAGCTCACGGCATAGTGAAGATAATTCCGATTTGCAAACGTAGGAAGACTTTGTTTCAGCCTGTTCGCTGTAGCCTTGTCTTTTTACCACCAGCCTGTGGGTAGCTGGTAGCTTGTAGCTTGGGCGGTGTTGCTCGTCCATGCTAAGGCTATGAGATGTTTGACGCTGTGAATTGCGTACTGCATGACAAGCCTTAGGATGTGTCTCCGAAGATTTATTTAGCATTGTGCGAGACAAAATTTTGTAGTTTATGAGCACACGCTGTGTTCATAACGGAGCCCCTCGTCCTGTAGAAGTTGATCGATGACCTACCTGTGTCATGGCATTCGTCAGACCATAACATCCCTTAAATCACTAATTGTCTTCCACGTACTAGTGTGTTAGCAAGGCCATTTGAGAACATGTGCTGCATTGCATACTATGTGTTGTAAAATTCGCTCCTTTATCCTGAGTCGGATTGAAAGAATGAACGCTAATGATTCCATCTGCGAAAGAAAGACCTCCGTTTGTGGTCTGCGCAAATCCTTGACGGAGTAAAAACAGGATCATTGCACGCGACAATAAGTCATCGTTATAACATTGGACAACTTCTTTGGGCAAAGACGTCCTACAACATAGAGAGCTGCATCCAAGTTGTGGGGATCACCCATTACTTATACCAAGCGCAGTGGAGGCTAATTGGACTACGTAATTTGTTCGGTGCCACTGTTCTAATTCCTTCCTTATCATCAATTCAACATAAGTTGCCTGTTCAAAGTGTTCAGAAAACCGGAACTTCGAACATGAGGCAAGAGGATCTAGAATTGTATGGATCAAGTTTCACAAATGTTGTATATACATAATCAGATCATACCGGTGAAATGAAAATAGCGTCGATCATGTAAATCACGCAGGTTCGAGTGTGAGTTATAACCATACTGAAACACACATGTGGCATCATGTCCAATGAAGGTCATGAGCCCAGTAACGCTCACGTCAACATTACCCCTTACAAACGGGTTTTATCATTCTCGTAAGTAGCACACCCAACTCCAATCTCTGGTCCAAGCATTAAAAAAATTCAAACAAGCATTCGAGGTGATATAATAACGAATGCCTTGCACACCGACATTACATGAAGGATAGTGGTACAAGAATGTGCATCGAATGTGCTCGTTATCAGCTTTTCTTCAGGATCAATGAAGCATCTACTCAATGCCACTGAATCACTTAAAACAGTGCAGTAAGTGTGAGTAATCCTAGATCTTCATGCTCTTCTGACCTTATAAACTTTGCTGTGAACGACAATTCTGTTAACCTTAAACCCTGGAACTATTGTAAAGCCAACACCGAACACGATGGGAGAATTGTCGCCTTCATCATCGTCACTCTCTTCTGTCGACATCAGAATAGATTCCATGTAGTTCCGGTTGAACTTCATTTTCCTTGTCGGTCGGAAGATCTCGGCTGTTGGACGCAATGCGAATGCAAGCTTGTGTACAAGAAAAACAGAGAGCGCGAGTTTGATAAAGCTCGAGGCTGATTTGACCTCTGTTACAGACGTAGCCAACTCCTGTCTTCTAATACCATCTGGCCCAAATACTTTACCGAAGACCAGAACTCCCACGTTTTCAACACCAGGGGCGCCGGTTCGGGAGAGAGCAGCAATCAAATCTATTTGCTTCTTGTTGCAGAACCTGCGAAAGTCATTATCGGCTGCATCATCGTAAACAAGTTCTTCAGGATTCTCCAAATCGTTTAACTGTTTGTACCGCTCGAAGTTATCTTTCATACGAGTCTCGGAGTCTAGAGTATCTGGTGCATTGTCCTCAATGTGGAAGCTATCATTCTCAAACTGGTCAAACAGAACATCACAGACGAGCGCTTGGTACACGAACTTGGTATGACCATCTCTTTCGAATACAACGGATGGCACCAACGCCTTGGCCACACTGGAGCAATTCACGCCACTATTCTTCAAGGCTTGCATCAAAAACTTGGTGAGGATGCCCGATGTCGTGTTCACTCTATCCACAGCTTTGTGTAGAAGGTGTGGAGTGGCTTCTGTTTCCAAGAAGGATTCGCCGCCGTTGTATTCTTGCGAGTTCCCAAGCTCCACGACTCTCTTCAGATGGGCATTCTCAGTTGTCTTGCTATTCAATAGTCGCTGGAGCTCCGTAACTTCACTCTGCAACTTCCGCATCTCATTCTCATTCACAGATCCAGTCTGCAAGGGATCTTGTGACGGAGATTCCGAGCCAATTTTTAATGCGATGTAATCACGCCTGTCTACAATTCTCGGTGAACTCTCGTGCCCTCGTAAATATCTACCCGGTAACCTAATTAAACGTATCAAAATATATATAGGGTGCCATAAAACGCTGCGGAAAAAACCGCACATACTTGCGTCACAACCCAACACCAGCTTTAGATGATAAACAACTTTCGATCAAATTAATCTGTAATCAAAACAGATTCTTAAATGCTTAAAGCTCGTAATCCAACTTCACAATCCATGCAATCTCCAAAAAAAAAAGAGTGAAGAAGAAGAAGAAGAAGAAGATGAAGAAGGAAACAAAACCGCGTTGCAAATGTTGAAAGACAAAAAAGAAGAAGAATTGTATTGAATCTCCACTAACCTGAAATTTATCTTTAAATCCACGAGGAAACTGTCGGTAGAAAAAATAACGCAGTCGCGAGATGAAAGCCGTAATGTTGCTGCATTCGAGACTCCAAAAATTCTGTTAAAAACGGCGTAGAATCTGTCTCTTGGTCTAGAAAGCACAGTGACTTTCTCTCTCCCTCTATGACACCATACAATCCGCAATTCCAGAATGATAGCGTCGAAGGAAAACCAATAACCTCCCTCCTCTTTCCCCTCTCCACTGACTTCGCAAGGCACCCCGACACCCGATTCATCAGATCAAACACACTACAAAACGTGTCGGCCACCTTAAATTCTCTTGCTACATTCCCGTGTACATTGCTCGCTTCCGCAGCGACAGAGCTAGGAAAGGGCGCAAACGCAGGGCGAAAATTGGGTTAGAGTGGACGACTGTCCTGTGAGGAATGCAGTTTCCGCCCATACCAGGCCACTAGCATCATTAAAGGTTACACGATTCTTTTCAGGAGGTCCACACCCAGATGACTACCGACTGTATTATAAAATCATTTACCCAGCACTTGTGAGGCTTTTTTTCGGTGAACGATTGTTTCGCATTTTTATTCCCGACTGTTCATCCATAGTCACGCACTACACGGCATCCATCTACTAGCCCTGTTTTGCTCGCAAAGCAGCTACAGAGCCCTTCCGTCGTCCCGGGGACGCGTGCAGAAAATTCAGTCATTACTCTTGAAAAGCGACGATCACTACTAACCTGTGCATCCAGGACCGGAATACTTCTAATGCTCACGCAAATATCTCATTTCTGGAGTGATAAATTACATCCCCACATCTTACTCTCCGTCTTGTCCACGTTGGTCGACTTGGTTTTGACGGTACTGCAAAGAAATGTAGCCTATCTTGAAAGAACACTGAATTTGAAACACTAAATTCGTAAAGAAAATACTAGAATTGACTTGAGCAGAACGGAAGTGCTGAAATGTGAAATTCATTTTCCGATGTGGCAAAAAGCTCAAGGCTCGAGTATTGTGCTACATCGTCATACTAAGAATAAACGAGACTGGCTAAGGTGCTTCCGCTTTCATCTACATACAAAAGGGGATGAATATTCTAACACATCTTTGCAAATTCCTCCAATTCTTCATCGTAGAAACTGATCCTAAACAACGGACATGTGAACAAGGTCTCGAAAGAGGTAATAGTCCCAGCTAATACAGCATCTATGCACACTCGGTGCGAACAACTCGTACTGTTCTGCTTCCTTTCCTAATCGTCAAAGAGAAATGGAAAATTGACAATAAATATAAAAAACTCCAGTCATAGAAGTCGAACACGCGATGTTACCATCTCTACTGACCATAGCCTTCGCATACGACTATGTCTGGGCCTGGTCAGAATTTATTCATATTTAAAACAATAATGTGCAACAATTTCTATCAAGAAGCAAGCTTAAAAAAAAATTGTACCAGTCAGGAAAAAACGTAGGCAACTATAGAAAAAGGAAATTCAGCGGCATATCAAAAACGATCCGAAGACCATACAAATTTCAGCCGCCACCTGTCCAATCGATCCCCGAAATTTGCCTTTCCCTATTCCATCGAAGAGATTTGGTGCGAAGGAAAATTCCATGCTGCTTCGCGCGCCCAGTGGGTGGGGGGTTGTCCAGGGAGGTACACTGGCAAGGACGAAGAAGCACGCGACGTCGCACGGCAGAGTGGCAAGGAAGGCCAGAGTCGAGACAGCCCACAGTAAGCGAGAGAGGGAGTGATGCCAGCCCTGTCCCCGTCCCCCTCACCTTCTCTGCTTCTTCTTTTGCGATGGATGGCACCATCACTCACACGGTGGCGCCCTCACTCCACTTGCAAGTTGCCTCGCCTGCCTTTCCCCTTCCTTCCATCCATCTCCTACTATTTATCATGCTTCGCCGGGCCTTTTGCTTCTCCACGCCGATTGCCAAGTGCATCTCTGTGCAGGCCCCTCGCTATGTCCCTCGGCGAAGCAACCAACCGCTGGACTTCGAAATTCTTCTCAACGCCTCCGAGCCAGGGCCCGTGTAGTCGTCGCGATCGACAGTCGTCGGTTGGTTCGCACAATGGCAATATCCATGCAAGAGTTGTTCTACGGTGAGAGCGAGCCCGTCTACTTGGTCCACTATGGGCGGCAAAGAAGCTCCACAAGCTGGGGGTCGCACTCGTACACCCCGCAACCGGCCATGCCCGAATTGTCCCGCACCAGTCGTGGTCGATCGGGATTGCGCAGATTTGACCTGATGGCGCCAATGTGCTGCGCTGGGTGCGAAGACCAGGTGCGAGACGCTCTGTATGCGGTGCGGGGCGTCCAAGACGTGGTTTGCGACCCCGGCGTGCAGAGGGTGACCGTGACGGGGTACTTGGAGCCTGCAGAAGCCCTGAATAGATTGAAGCGGGCCGAAGACTGCGTCACATTCTGCTCTCGCAACAAGCAGCACAGATACGAGGAGTCCTCGTGCCAGAGATCACACCGAGGCCAATTCGAAGACAGGGGTCGCAGGGAGTACGTCCAATACAACGTGAGAGAGCAGAGGTCGCACACCGACCGCAGCTACGTCGGCTCGAGGAGCGAGCCATACTCTCGGAGCTTGTGCCCGGCGTACAGAGACACCGCCCGGACGCATTACATGAGCGTGCCGAACCCGACGATTGCAACACGCGTAGAGAGGGAATGGTGAGGGGCAACTGCCAGTTTTGCAAATTTTGTACAGTGAGATCAGAATGGGGTTCCACATTGGGGCCGCACAAGGTTGCGAACGGCGACGAGCGAATTTAGGCTAGAAACTAGACTTTCTCCGGAAATTACCGATCCCTTTGGGGATTTAGATTGCGGGTGCCGTGCGCACAGAACCTGGACAAGCTTGGTTCCGAGAACTGTGTGACGCACATTTGAGTGTACAAACCGAGTCCGATAATCGAAGTTGGCCAAAGACTGGCTGGATTGAAAACATGGCTTGAGTCGACAAATGTGGAACTGCTGTGGTGTCGGGAGGTGATTCCCGGAGTCTTGCGATGTGAAGAATGTGTGTGATTTGTGCTGTAGGCGCTGGATATGCTTCCTGTGAGCCGATTTTGGAAATCTTGCAAAATCCTAGTGATGTTGCAGTTTAGCTTCGGAATCGTGCGATCGGCGACCCCGACTTTACTCGGTTTGTGTCATGGTCTGAATTCTGTGCGCAACGAGGCTCTCGCTTCGTGTTGAGGATCTGGGAAGGGACGGGCGCGCTCGGTTACGCACAGCCAATCTGCTACACAAACAGGCAACAAGATGCTGCTCCCTGGTGGAAAGCATTTAATAATGTGAGGTTGCACGGCGAGGCACGATTGTGCTCCCCACTCTTGAATGATTTGGTTAGGCGTGGTTGTATTTTGTGGGAAAGATTGTAACTTTAGTCACAGCTGGCAAATTGAGTTTTAGGATGGAGGTTTATGTCAAGTGGAGATGAAGTTTCCCTTGTAATTTTGTGCGTGGAGGTTGCTCACATTTTAGAAACCAACGAGTCGCATTTTGATGGAACTGTCTTGGAGGAGTTTTTGGGGTTTGAAATACATTTCTTGTTGGAACTGTGTCACGTACAGTCAAGAATAGGTTTCTGTTTTGGCCAATGGAACAACATGTTAAAAGATCTACGATGATACCAGCGACGTCTCCAATCAAACCCAGCAAGTGGTACGTGGAAAGTTGCAAAACCCAGGAAATGGAGGAGCAGGAACTCGACCTCCCATCTCTTGACACGTACAGTGACTGCCAAAACTGAATATGAAATCAGTAACTCTACTATTAGCCATCCATGCTTTGTAATTTTTTGCAATAATAGCCAAATCAGTTGGTGATTCAAGTTCTATTTTAAGTAAATAATGTGGCTACCAAATTACAAGTCCAGAAAGATGTTGACTAAAATGAATTACTTCTAAAACTCAATTTCGCTCACATTTGGATTACAATGACATAATGCAATCTGAGCTACAAATCTAACATGCAAAAGTGGTTTTTTGAGTGTAATTGAGAGCATGGGCATGTTCTTGGCCTTCATACATATAATTGTATCTATTATCATTGCACATTACCTATGCAAATTGAGCAAAATGGTTTCATTGAGGTATCTCTCTATTATTGATAGGAAGTTAATAGAAGTGGCAGTTTTACAAAAGTTGAAGAGGGGTGAGAGTACTAGAAATGTTGTTAGAGACTTACATGTATTTCAAAATTGGGTTGCATAATTTTGTGAATAACATTTGATTGATTTGAGTGATATAAATCATAATTTTGGTGGCAAATCAAGAATGTGTAGTATACTTGATCAAAGAACTTGTGTGAGAGAAATCACTAGAGATGGCAAGAAAATTGCATATAAAGTTAGAAATTACTTGAAAAAAGAGCTTCATGTTGGTATAAGTAATAGTATTATGAAGAGAGTGTTATGTGAAGCATGTTTGAAATGCAAAGTGAAGCAGAACAAATCAAAGCGTACACTTTGTTAGATTAAGGAAAAATTAGAATTTTCTAAATATCATTGTCATTAAATTGATGGTGATTGAGATTGTGTAACATTCTCCAATAAAACAAAAGTCAATTGCTTTTGCTTTGATGGTTGCACTTGGTATTGGTTTTATGGTGGGCAAAGTATAAGTCTTAGAATGGTATAACAAATACTCAAGTTTCAAGAGTGAAGAGTGATGATATGGAGTTGCATGATTCCAAATGGCCTTGATATGATGTGTTGGATTGAGACCAGAATGAATGTTAATAATTAATATAGATTCTAATATTTATACAAAATTTAAGATCAATTGAAGAATTCAAAAGCAAGTTATTGATGTTAGAAGATTCTAAATGCTTTGGATGATGATAATAAGATTTTCAAATAGTTGCATTGGTAAGGATTATTGTAACAAGATATAGATAAGATATTTATATTGTTGATACATAGAGATAGATAGTTGGAACCATAATGGAGAACTTATAGAAATTTTTAGAATTGGAGTTAGGTTAGTAGATTATATAAGATCCACCATAGAACATTCTTGAAAGAACTTAGAGCAATTGTCTAGGTAGGGCCTATCATGGAACATTTTAAAAAAGGCTTAGGGTGGTTATTTAGGTATGACTTACTATGGAACCTTCTAAAAAAATTTAAGGTGGTTATCTAAGTGTAGTCCATTATTAAGAACATTCTAAAAAGTTTCAAGATGATTGGACAAAGTATAAATAGGACTAGCTACGACCTTTTGGGCATCTATTCAAGTATGGCTTTAAACCTTTTTTCTTAATAAAGTTTAATATTACATCTTCCTATTTAGTTCTATTTCGTTTTATTTTTGTTTACTCAGTTTTATTTTTTGTATTCTATTTTTTTTTTAGTTTTGTTTAATTTTTTTTTAGTCCATTTTTTCCTACTTTGTGATGAGGTTTTATGTTTTTGTAGATTAGAAAGGTCATAAATTCTTGAGATAGACTGGTATTGTATTATGTGAAGTCTTACTAAAGAATGCATTGAATACCTAATTGTAGAAGGTAAAATAAAAATTGCAACAACAAAATCCTAATTCAAAT